TCACTTCGCGAATTAGGTTGTCGTGATCCAGTCACTTTGCAAATTAGCTTTATAAATTGCATTACTGCTATTAGATCGTTACGTATGTTCGCTTTTCGTAACGTTCAACGTTGTGACGTCTCTCGAGATCGCTTCTCGTGCAAGGGGTTGATCTCGACGTCGTTGATGCCGACTCGTATCCTATCTTCAGAACTCTCGGTTTCTGAGGAAATTTCGTAAGATTGATCGGTTTATTCGAACCGTTTAGCGGTGCTCGCGATAGGCATCAATTAGCGCGAGGTCGAGCCGGCTAGCGCAAAAAGCACCGGCGTTCCGTGGAAGATCGTTCAGCGGAATGGTAATTGGTCTCGCGGTGAGAGTAATAACGAACCTGTTCCATCACCGTCTCGCGGGTAGAACGATCATGAAATAATAGCGTGAGTCAGCTCGGCCGGAGTTTTCTTTTTCTATGGAAAACCGTGGCGCGCCGTTTTTTTTCTCCAGCGAATTCTGGAATCCGTCAAGGTCTCCCGCTTCTCAATTAGCACCGATCGTTAATAATCCGGAGTTTCCTCGCGATAGATTTTCTATAACGAGAGATCGTTAATATTTCAACGCGATTATCGGCGTCGCCGGTACACTCGTTTCTCTTTCTTTCGAGCAGCACCTGCGAAACCGCTTACGTCGCGCGAATAAGGCCCGATACACGCCATCGGTCCGCTCGAAATCCTCTCGTTGCCTATTGTTTTCGATGAACGGAGATGAAATGAGATCCAACTGAGATTTACAGTGTGAACTCAGTGTGAAGAATGTTTTAATAATTTTTAAATAAAAATTTAAGTATTCGAAGCTTCTGGATATAACAAGGTGAGAACCAACATAAAAATCTGAATGAAAATATACATGTGTAGTAGGTATCTAGAAATGAAACACCCTTATGGCTTCTTTGACAATGGTCCTCCATTTTCGAAGAGAAATGAGTTTGTATGTTACTATAATAAGACGATTAGAAGCCTAGTACAATAATGTGTCGTTCCAAATCTCCATACATGGAGTCCTTCCTATTCTCCATTCTTTGTTTTCCTTCGAATTATAATCTCCAAATAACTTGTATTTCATTATTGTAACATTATTTACCTAAAACTTAATTTAACTAAATGTAACTGATATAACTTTATATAAAACTTAATCGTTTCTCTTCGATGAAGGATCATCATCAAAAAAGTCACAAGGGTGTTTCATTTCTAAATATGCACTACACATGCATAGTTCCATTAAAAATTTGTTAATTCTGCTCCTCTCCTTGTAAGCTAGCAACCGGAGTCTGTAATGTGCTGATTAGCATATTTCAAGATTTCCAGCGATTGTTCCGTTATTTCGGTTTCATCGAGCAGGATGAATATTCGATCGACACCTAACCGATAGCGTGTCTAAAAGGCAGCGCGTGTAACAAGAACCGCGGGGTTCGTCGATCGAGTGATGTAAAAGGGACTGACGGTGTCCGCGGTTTTCGCCCGCGTCGCGTCGCGTCGATCAAATAAATCCGTCAGCCCTCAGAAAAAAGGTCCGGCCGACCGCGACCGGCCGAGTGGAATGTCCTTCGGGGACTCGCAGTTTTTATCGCGGACCCGGGAAGAATGGCTCGTTACGGCAGGTGAAAAAGCGGCGCGCGCATCCGCGCCGCGTACATAATGCATCCCCGTGTTCCATCGAAAAAACGTGCACGAGCAACGCGGTGTGTATTCTTGCCCGCATTAATCAACGCGGCGACAGTCATGCCCAATTTAATGAAGCGTGACTATGGGAATACGCTAATACGAGGGTATCTATCACTGTGTCAACCCTTTCCGAGTGTCCGTGCGATAGTAATTTCTGGCTATCGACATCTAAATCGAAAGCTGCGAACGATGCACAGCTTTTTCTTTTTTAACAGGTCGAACGCCGCACGATTTCATAGAGGAAAATACACAGAATGGAAGAAATATAATAATAAATGATTTTCGAATTGTGTTATTACTATTACACGTTTATCTAGCTGAATGTCGCTGTGTTATGTAGCATTTTTTATAATGTAGAAGTGTTTTCATATAATCGTCGTTTCATTGAGTGAACTACAGTCGATTTGGTCGGGGGTCACCGGTGACCCCCATGGCATTCAATGTGTTAATAGATCACTGAGACTTAATGGGTTAACGCTGAAACTACCGAGTAATTAGAGTCCCTTATTTTTCAAAATTTTTTTTATAGACAGAACAATACGTTTCTTGGGATTCGAAGGGTACTTTCAGGCCTGTACCGCGAACACGCCAATTTCATTGAAAGTCTATCGCAAAAATAATTTCTTAACTCTTTGCGCTCGGAAGTTTTTCATTAGAAATATTTTAACGTCTTCTGATGAGATAGAGAGGATATTTTGTGAAACTAACTCAGCGAGAAATTACAATAGACAAAGCTATTTTGTTTGAATATTTCTCAAATTGATGCATTGCACGAAGTTTAATATTAAGTATCAAATTTTATAGTTTTACTGTATGAAATCAAGTGGTGACTGAGAGTCACCTCTCGAGTGCAAAGAGTTAACACTGAAACTACAGGACGAATGAAATAGAGATAAATTATTTTTAACTTCATTTGCACGTGGTACCAGTCACTCAGAAGCTAATGCGGTCGAGTTAATTTTTTGATATTCTCTGATCTTTGTGAATTTCAATGGAGTGAATAGTATTCTTGTTAGTTATTAAAGGATTTATTCGATTTGTGTTTTCTAGGTCAGACAGCACTTCTTTTTGAAGCTTCTGAATATGATTTATAATCGTTTAACATTAAAGCCACTAGAGTGGTCGAAGTGACCCATTCTTGACGTGTTTTGCAATTATTAAAAAGAGAACAAATACTTTTTCGGGGAATTATTAAAGAAATCGATTAACACCATGCAAACTGAATTTTAAATCAATTGAAGTCTCAACGGATGCACTCTTGGAGTTGCTATAGAGAAATTTCTGAAACTTAACCCTTAACGGACGAATGTCGACGTCTCGGCGAGATGAAATTTTCATGTTTCGAAGACTAAGTTCTATACAACTGATTAATTACTCAAACAGCAGGAGATCCTCGCGTAGTTTCTGTTTTCTCTATGATTTAAGCAATTGATATATAATTTAGCTTCATCCGCTAAAGAGTTTATATATTTCAAAGAATCTTCGTCCGCAAAGGGTTAACTGCTCGGTAGATCTAATGTCAATTTATTCACTTTTATTGTATAACTAATTATTTTGGTTACAGTAGCTATGTATTTAAGTCTCGTTATGTTTAGCGTTAAATTATCTCCGTTTCGAAAGGGAAATTCTAATCATTCCATCCTCTTTGTATTCCAGTGGGTCCACTTTCGATCTCCGGCAAATAATTCGGAGCCGACCACCTGTACGACGTCCACGGAACTCCGTTTATGGATCACGAAGATCGTGACGAGGCAATGTCGAGGACAAACTGGTTGCACCGCGTATATAGCTCCCGTGGCGATCGATTCAATGCCACCGATCGATTCGAACGGAATGCCGGTCCAAATACAGCCCGCGATTTTCGGCCGGCGGACGCGACGCGAATCGCCGATCGACCCAGGGATTTTCGGCCGGCGCACGTCCGCCGCTGACACGTTGTAACCGGCTGTAAATCGCGCCCGTAACCCGGTAAAACAGTTACGTGACGCTAAGTGCTCGTCGGCCGCTCGAGGAAAAACGAAGAATCGTGTCAACGGTCGAATTCGGATTCCGCATTCGGAATAGATTCGCGTGGATCGAAATAGAGAACGAAATTGAAAATTCACCGACGACCCGGTTCTTTTGTCGATTTCTTCACGTAGAAGAGATTCGTGAGTCACCTGCACGCGCAATCGAGACTAATCGCAACGGCGCGAACGATCGTTTAGCAACCGGGAAATACCGAGTTTAACGTCAGAACTAACCGATCATTCATTGATTTCTTGGTTTTCAATTACTGAAAAGTTACCGTGGGAAATTCTACTAACACTTCGACCGCCACATCACTTAAATTCGAGTGACATCATTTTTGTACGTTAATTCCAATGATTTTAATCTTTCTGAGAGAACAGCAGCTTTTTTCGAAGTTGAAATAGTTCCTCTGTCGACTTCGCGGAGATGCTTCTACTTTCACTGCGACTGCAGGTCGAACGAAGTTTACGTAAAACATTCGTTTTCTAAGTGACATATCGAAAATGAATTTCGTTAGATGAGTGAGATATAAGAAGGATAATAGAGTAAACAATTTGAAGAATCTGGAGTGTCTAGTGCTCTTATTAAAACTGTTTCGATCGCATAGGAGCTTTGACGATCGTTAATGACAAGGTTAGTCGAAATCTTGATAAATTGTAGCTTCTACAAAATGTTAAATTCCCGGCCTAAGTGCTCGATGTTGTAGCGTTAATCGCTGGACCGTTTTATCGACCGGCTCGATCAATGAACAGCCGACGTCCAGAAGCCGATTCGTTTCGTCGGATCACGCGGGAAGCGTTAATCGCCGCGCGTACGCGGCCGAGGTATCAAGCGTTAATGCGCTTATGCAAGGACGCAAAACGAATCGGTCCCATTAAAATCGGTTGACGTCACCGTCGTACACCGATTACTCCCGCACGTGAGAAAATTCCGAAACGCCTGCCGGACCAGACGGTTGACTCAACCAGCAGCCTCGGGGCTGACTCCAGTTATCTAACGTATCGTAATTAGAGGATCAACAAGACCCGTTTAACGTCCTCCGCGAGATCCCCGCGCGATCCCCGTATCTCTAAGCTAATCTATCGGCATCCTAGGCGTTCACTCGATAACTTTCCAATAATCTTTCAGCTAACGACGCACCAGAAGGTTCACTGTCACGGTTCCCCGGCCCGTCTACGATTCACTCCCGAAACGTCATCCGGTGTTCGCGGGAGAACGAGGACCACGCTGAACCGAGGCGAACGAAAGCGGAATACGGCGAATAAAACGAGGAACGGAACCGGCGGCACTCACCTCTGCAGGATCAAGTACTCAAGTCGGTCCTGTATTTATCCGCGACAGGCGATCCTCATTTCGCGTGGCGGTCCCGATTTCCCAGCGGCCGAGGGAGAAAACGATCCTCCGCGATCCACGAGATCCTCGCAAGTGACGCGGGCAGGCTGTGTCCGGTTGGGTCAGGTGGACGTCGTTTTCAGGAACTATTCTGGAAATCGGTTGCTGATCGCGGCACGTTCCCGAGAGGGAGTAAGTCCTGAGGACGCGGATGGCTCCCACTTATAAAGACTTGGCCAAGTCTTGGCTCTCCAATTGGCTTCCGTGTGTGTGTGTGCGCGTGTGCGTGTGTTTCTGTGTGTCAACGTCTCTACGTAAGTCGGTACCCCCTGCACGTGCGTGCGTGCGCGAGGAATCGTGGCTCCGTCCAGGTGGTAGGGGGCACAAACCGTCCCGGTCGTTACACGCTCGATGCTGTTACACATTACACGGAGCCAATGCTGGGCCGGGCAGCCGGTGCCGGGGCCTCCGGACCAACCAAACCGATCGGTTCTCCGCCGGGACGGACGGACGGGTCGGTCTCCCGCTCGCCTTCGCCATTGTCGCCCACCATGAATGAATTTTCGCGAGGAATCGGCCGGCGGCGGGAGCGCGACTGACATCTCCGGACGACCGCCGACGCCTTAGTATCTCGCAGTTGTTTTCTCTCTGTTTCCGTGGTCACCTTGCTCTCGCGAAGCTCCGGTAACCCATTCGCTGCTAGACACGAGCTACGTAGTTACCATCGTATCGCTGTTTCGAGCATTCGCTTCGATCTTTGTAAATTGTTCTCTAATAATAGTATAGACGTTAGGTAACTATTTGCGGATGAATTAAACTCGACATTAATCGTCCGAGAGACGAGGTTCGATATCTAATCGAATACCTTATCAAATGTAATCGTGATCTCGTGGAACCGAGTCCTTGTATACGCGTGTATTCCGTTCGAACTCGGCTCGATTCGCACGATCATAAGACAATCCAACGAGATCCTCGGATCGCCGGTTCTGACTTTCCAGCAGGTCGTTTCGGGAGATTTTCTCCCCGTTCTTCGGTACGAGCGAAAAAGACGTCCGGACAGGCCACGCATATTTTAACACGGATCAAACGTCCCTGAACGCTAACGGTATCCCGATATCGGTGAAAGATACGTTTCGTAAAAATCGCTGCTCCGCGGCCGAAGACGGGCATACATAAATTTCTCGTACGTATCACGAGGCGACACAGTTTCGACGCGTATCGGCTGTCCCCGTTCTATCCACGGCCTGCGGAGACCGGCCAGCCGTTTCGCGTGTACTCACCCACGGGCCCGAAACAGGTTTCATTACGCGTTGTTACGCTTATTACCGTGAATCGAGATCCACCGGGGATACCGCAATTAGTACGTTCGAGTCTCGGTCCATTATTCGAGACCATTATCGCGGGTATGATCCTCGATCGTCCGTCGAGCGGCGGCGTTGTTACCGGTCCCGGTGTAGAGCATTTCGCGCGGGGAAAGAGCATCGGTTCGATTTCCCGCGCGCGACGTCCATTAAGGGACCGAATGGAAACGCGATCGATAAGAAACTTGAATTGATGGGGAACCGGTTCCAGTTCACGCGACATATTGTATCGTTAAAGCGTTTTATCATAAACAACGAGGCGAGGTTTCCTCTCGTTTCGCTTGAAAATCCGCGGTATTCCGAACGTTCGTGGAAAAGGGAAACCGGGAAACGTACGATCGGCCCCAATAAGATTCGTAACATTATCGTTAACACGAAATGGTACACGCGCAGGCAGCGATAAGCGAGGTGGAACGGGCTCCTTCATAAATCCACGGTGACAAGCAGCAGGGACTTCTGGATCGTCGCAAATCATCTTTCTGGCGCGCCGGCCTTGCACCGCGGCGGCTCTCGTTTTCGTCCTCTCCCGCCGCGCTCACAGCTCCCCGCGTCATATTTTGCCGCGCGAGCGGTCGGCAACAGGTTTCTCTAGTATAATAATATCGCGATCGATCCGGCAAATAAACGACGGCGAGAGTGGACAGCTTGAGGTCCCACGGGACGCCGCAATGGAACTCGCGGTTATGCACGTAGATAGCGAAGAATTGAATTTTGGACGTTCGCTCGAGAAAATCTGTCGCTTGATACGTGCATAATATAGTTGGTTTATCCCATTGGATATAAATAGTGATTTCTTGAACCGTGGTACTGTTTTAGTCGAGGCCAATCGTTGTCATTATCTTTCAGGGTGTCGCTGCATGATAACAAGATCGAGTTCCTTGACTGTAGCTTTACGGATGTTCCGCATATTTTATTCCATTGTCGCTCGAAAACCAATACGACTAAGTCTAGAAAGCAAGAATTGAGAAAATTATGCTTTGGCTTCTGAAATGATTATACATAGTCAGAAGCTACAAAACGAACTTTCCGATCTAGAAAACACGAAGAAACCACTAAACAAAATATTACTTATCCCATTAAAATTCACAACAAAATATCAAAAAATCGACTTAACCGAATTGCCTCCCATCGAACGATGCATATAAAATTAAACACTCGATTAAAACTCGAAACTGCCGCGTCCCATGGATCTATTGTCAACGAACAACGAAGCGACGCTCATTAGCGGAAGAAACGGAGATCCTTATCCGCCCGCTTGTTCCGTTTCCTCGATTGTTAGCCGAATTGCGGCGTCCGTAGGGTCAACGCTCCTCCGGTTCGTCGAACCCCGCGGCTAGACAGGACCAGCTAGGCGCGAACGGAAGCGGCGAGCGAAAAAACTCAGGGACGATCGTAATTTTCGGCGGGCGATGGCCGATTATCAGCAATTATCGGCGATTGTTCCCGCGCGTCGCTGTTCCAGGCGGATTCCAGAATAACGAGGGACGCGGCGGCGGTCTCCGAGAATTTCAGCGTGCATGTCCCGTCCTTTCTTTTTCTTCGTGCCGAGCGACGCGTCGTTGGACGCCTCGGTGCCCCGGGAGAGCTAGAGAGAGACGCGAGCGTACGCCCGCGACCCTCGAGTGTGGGTTACAAGGAAAGGAAACGCGAGAGACCAACGGAGTCTTCGAATATTTTGTTACCGGTCGAACGATAAAGGGATACTCTACCTCGCCGCGGTCCGAATTAACGTCGTCCCCGCGGCGATCTCTCGCGCGCGGCTCGGCTAGGCTAGGGAAACCCTAAACTAGACCCTATTTGAACCGCGCGGCTTGAGATCATTCTTCCGAGCCGCGGGGAAGGACATTCGCCGGCGAACGAGGCAGTAACGCTGCGAACGAACGAGATTGTAACTAGACCGAGATATTTGTTACTTTATAATTATCAGCACGATTGTAAAACGAATGTGAAAACATGTTTATTCTTCCGTAAAGATAACTGGTACCGGGAATGATTGTTATTTAGCGTTATCGCACTTCTCTTGCACTATTATCTAGTCGGTTATATTGCTAAATATTTGCACTTGGCATTCTTATTGCAACCGTTTCCCAGTAATTCGGAAGCGACCGTCATTGGTGACGTGCGCGTTAATATCGAGATTAACGTGTTTGCGAGAAAGATAAGTGTCCCGATATGCATTCGAACGTGGGACTGTCCCGCTAATCGCGCGAGTTAACGCGTTGGTCATTGATGACCGTCTAAATTATTTGAAAATAATTGTTAAAAGTAAACTGATGTATCAAAGTATTTAGTTATGCAGGTAACTTGATAACAGTGTAACTTAGCACTAGATTTACGAACGTTTATTCTAGACTTTACTCTATTGTTCCTAGGAAACTGTTCATCTTTATAAATCATGAACATTGTAGTTTAAAAACGCATTGCAACGCGTGCTCGCATAATTGGATCAAAATTGACGGGTTCCGTGAATCTACTGTTAAAAGCTGCGATATATAATTGTTAATCAACTCTAACGCCATTCGCCGTCGGTAGGCGATAATGTTAGAAGAAACGCTCTAAATTCTGGTGGCGGGCACGGAAAGCAGCGAGCGCGCTACGCGGGGTGTCCGCGCGCGTCCGGCCGGGAAACACGAGTAGAAAAGCTAGGTAGTAGAATACGGTTGCAATGGGCGGACACGATGGCGCGTTGCAGCGTCAAGGCGCATTGCGTCGCGTCGCATCGCGTCGCGTCGCGGTCAGCCGCACAGAAAACGCATGCACGGCTGGAATGAGAGTACAATGGACCGTATCTCAGTGGCCGGCCGACCATAAATGTCCCGCGCGAAAAATCGTTGCCGACTGTCCGGCCGAGCGATTATGGCCGTCGTTTCGCGTCGCGTCCGCGGCGGGGGAGGGCGCGGCGGCGATTCATTCGACGGGGGAGTCCGTGAATTAACGAGGAACGGAATAAAGCGCGGAAGTGCGCGTGTAGCTAGCCGGCTAGCTCGCTCGCGCATTCGCTCGTTGCCCGATCCATGAATTATTCCGCAACGAACGACTAACTCGATTCTCCTGTCGTTCGGATTTTTCCGTGGCCAACGGGGAAGGAAGCGGCTCCTCCGACGGGGTTGCGGCCGCTGTTTTACAACCGCGCGTCGGGATTTGCATCTTCCCCGAGCGGAATTTTTCGCCGTGCCGCATTTATGGCCGCCTCTCCACTTTGTTGCTCGTTGCTCTACCCGGATAGGGTTCGGCAAAAACTTTTGTGTCGGCGCTGTACCGAGCTGGTTCGTTTCGCGTGGCCCTGTTCTTCGTCTCCCGTTGGCCGGCCGGGTCCCGGGGCAGAAAATCGAGCAAATCGGCAAGGGACAAGGGAATCTGCGGAGGCGCCAGGCGAGAAAGTGATCAGGTTGCACCTGTTACGACTTCTTCGCGGTGCATCGAACGAATAATGACGGGGAATAATAAAGATCGCCCATGGACGTGTGCCCTGTTGCTCGTTTTTCCGCTCCCTCCGGCACGCCGATGATCGAGCACGGGAGGAGGGAACGCTTGGAAGGCTTCGGAACCGGGCGCAACCTATAAATAACCGCCGCCTCTTTGCATCTCTTTGCGCTCGCTTCTTTTCTTTCGCGTCCCTCCGCCACGGCGAGCTTCTCTCTCGGCGTTGTCGGCCGGGAGGACGCCTCCGACGCGCGCGTTTTCGCGTTCAGGGACCCCGTAATTCAGGTTCCTTCGCACGTAGCCAAGCACAATCGTCGCAATTAATGCCGCGAGCCGGAAAGCTCTCGCTCCGCGTAGATGAATCCTAATGCGGTCGTCCCCGGCTGTGTACGTGTGGCAAAGTTTCACGGTAACGAGTAAAACGTCTAGGACGAGGGACCACCGTGTATCAAGCTTCAGCCTGGTTATTACAAGGGCTTTAACAAAGTGGTAGATCTCTGCAGACTATAACTCTACCGGTGAATACGAAGCTGTTAGCATTAACGCTGCAACCAAATAGATTAGCATGACCTATTCCTGATGGCTCTTCGGGGAAGGAATAAAGAAATTGATTTAGTAGATTGTAAATCAATGGAGGTCTTGATTGATACGCTCTGAGAGTTTCCATGGGAAGATTGAGAAAAGCCAATGTTCTTAAACTTAACGTTTAATGTCATCCGTAGTCTTGGAGAAATTATAAATTAATTAATACCTTCGAGTCAAATAATCTGTTGGTCGGGACTCGACGATGAACTTCTCGAGGTATAACTTTATGATTCCCATGGAACCTTCAAAATTAGAGAAGATCTGCACAACGAATAAGACACGCTCGTCAAGTATAGCTACTTTCGGAACTTTCTTATATTTTATTTTAGCAAATAACACATCGTTGAGTTTTCTAGTGTTAACGATCCTCCGCCAGGTCACGTCTCGTGACCTGAGTCCGGCGGAAATTCTACCACGCGGCCG